CCTCTCCCCTCCCCTTCAACCCTCCCCCAAGGTCTCCATGCTCCCAATTTACTCAGGAGATCTTGTCTTTTTCTACTTCCCATGTAGATTAGATCTATGTATGTCTCTCTTAGGGTCCTCATTGTTGTCTAGGTTCTCTGGGATTGTGATTGTGGACTGGTTTCTTTGCTTTATGTTTAAAAACCTCATATGAGTGAGCACATGTGATAATTGTCTTTCTGTGTCTGGGTTACCTCACTCAAAATGATGTTTTCTAGCTCCATCCATTTTCCTGCAAAATTCAAGATGTCATTTTTTTGTTTTTTGTTTTTTTTCTGCTGTGTAATACTTCATTGTGTAAATGTACCACATTTTCCTTATCTATTCTTCGGATAAGGGGAATTTAGGCTGTTACCAGGTTCTGGCTATGACAAATAATGCTGCTATGAACATGGTTGAGCACCTGTCTTTGTGGTACAATTGAGACTCCTTTGGCATTTATTATTTTAAAAATAAATGTTCCAGGCCAGGTGGTAGTTATAGTGCTCAGGAGGCAGAGGTAAGTGAATCTCTGAGTTTGAGGCCAGCCTAATCTACAAAATGAGTTCCAGACAGCCAGGGCTATACAGAGAAACCCTGTCTTAAAATAAAATAAAATAAAATAAAATGTTCCTAAGAGCAGAACAAGCTCTAGCTTCCTAGCAGGCCACTCCAAGCCAGGCCAGAGAGGCAGCTGCACATTCCTCAGAACCTGCTGGCAGAGAGCCCAGGACAGAGCAGCCAGAAAGGAAGGAGGAAGGACCCAGTTCTGGTGGTTCCTGAACATAAAGGTCTAGGGAGAAGGACAGAGACCCCTAAGTGGCTTCTGAGGGGAGGGATTGAGAAGAGGGAACTGAGGGGGAAAGGAGCCCCCAGTCAGCAACTGCAGCACATTGGAAACCTCACCTGGCATAAGAGAACCTAGAAAAGCGGGCAGTCAATCTTAGGGCAAGGAAACAAGGGAAAGCGTGACAGAGATGGCCAAGGAAATGGGAAGTGAGGGAAGGAGGGAAAGGGCTCTGGAATCTCCTGGAATTTAGGAGGAGCCTGCTTTTCCTAAACCCTCCCAGAGTTTGACCTACTTTTAGTTACCCAGGAAACTCAGTAAGGTCTGTGACCTTCCTGCGTTAATCAACTTGACAGAATTGACAGAATCTATTATCAAGTAGGAGGTGGGCCTTTGGGAATGCCTGTGGGAGATAATCCTGATTGACGGGGAAAGACTCAACATGATTGTGGGTGGGACTTCCCTAAGCTTGGGATGCTGGGCTGTGCAGAGGAAGCCACCCGAGCACTAACATGCACGCATTCATGGCTCTTTCTTCTGACTGCAGACACATGACCAGCTGCTTCATTTCCTGTGGCCTTGGACTACTCATTGAGCTGTGAGCTAAAATAAACTCTTAGGTTGCTTTGATCAGTGTAGTTTATCAGAGCGACAGAAACAGTAAGTCAGCCCTTCAAAGAGTCCATCGCTGGTCTGCAGGATGCCTGAGAGAGATGGGCTTTCTTCCTCAGTTACTTTGCTATTGTGGTGAAGAGACACCACAACCAAGAAAACTTCCGGGAGTGACTGAGACTTACGGTTTCAGAGGGTTAGAGTCCACGACCATTATGATTGTGGAATACTATTTTTACTAGGCAAAGATGTGTTATATTTGTTTATACTGTAGATTATTACTTTAATGATGTAAGGATTATTACATTTGTTTGTGCTGTAAAGATGTGGTGCATTTGCGTTAATTAAATAAAATTAACCTGGGTTCAGAGAGGCAGAATTCGCAACTGGTTGACAGGAAGTAGCAGGGCGGAGTTTAGTGTGGGGTTTTTTAGTTGGGGCATTGTGGAAGGAAGTGACTTCTAGAGGCACTAGCAAAGAGAGAAAGTTAGCCAGTAGCTATTCCAATTCTCTGAGCTTACAGGTTTTCGCCTAGCCTTTCTTTTTTAATATTTATTTATTTTGTATACAATATTCTGTCTGTGTGCATGCCTGCAGGCCAGAAGAAGGCACCAGACCCCATTACAGATGGTTGTGAGCCACCATGTGGTTGCTGGGAATTGAACTCAGGACCTTTGGAAGAACAGGCAATGCTCTTAACCTCTAAGCCATCTCTCCAGCCCCTCACCCTAGCCTTTGAATCTTGAGTTTTATTAGAATGACAGAGATTTAGTTAGAACTATCTTTAGTAACAGCGATAGAGTCATTGTGTGAGGGAACAGAATTCCTCCCGTGTAGCACAAATTCTAATTGATTTTAATAATAAAAACTCAAAGAGTCAGATATAAGGTTAATGTGAAGATTAGAGAAGCCGAGTGGCTAGCCACTAGAGTTACCAATGCTCAAACCAAAGGGGCGATCCTGTCTCTACAAATCCTCAGACTGCATTCTCATACTGTCCTGGGCTCCTGTCTTATATTCCTCTCTCTGCCCAGCCATATCCCTTCCTATCTCCATGCCCCTAGTGCTGGGATTAAAGGCATGCGACTCCTAAATACTGGAATTAAAGGTATATGCCATTACTGCCTGGCCTCTATGGCTACTAGTTGGCTTAGCTACTAAGATCACTTGCACTGTGACCTTCAGGAATGCTTTATCTGTTAGATTACAAACTAAATATCACCACACACCCCAGGCTACTGCACTAGTGGCCAGGCTGCTAGTTTAAAGCTCAGCCACTGTAGCAAAAGTAAAACTACACACCATGGTGGGAAGCGTGGCAGCAGGCAGGCAGGCAGGTGCTGCAGCAGTAGCTGATCCACAAGCACAAGAGAGAAAATCAGAAAAAAATCCTCAAAGTCCACTGCCAGTGACACACCTCCTCCAACAAGGCCCCACCTTCTAATCCTTCCCAGACGGTACCACCTACTGGGGACTGAGTGTGTAAATACATGAGCCCACGGGGAGTCCATTCTCATTCAAGCCACCACAGCACCTGTGCACACACAATGCCGTCCCCAGGTAAGATTCCACTATAGTTTTAGTATCTTTGGACCCTAGGTGTGGGGCTTCCCATAGACAGCTCAGGCAACCACAGCCAAGGACAAAGGAGTAGTCACCATGCAATAGCCACACCAGAGGACAGCAGGGTCATTCCCAACTCAACTCGCAGGACTGTCACTACCAACAGTCACACCCCAGTGCTCACAGTAGACAGGAGGATAACAACAAAATGAACCGAAGGGAAGAATGTCTGGGCTGGTGTCTGCATCCCTGGGGTCACAGGGCCACTGCAGCAGGGCAACAGAGTCCAAGTTGAGTGGTAAACCTGTCTCAAGGTCACTTCCTCTAAAAGCACCCACCACACCCATCTATCCCCAGTCACCAAGAGAGTAGTTCTGTCTCTTTAAGAGACAAGCCACGCCCACTCCCTCCCCTATCCCCTGAGGCAGATTGATCTTCAGCTTCCGGCCTGAGCGCACTCTATTTTCAGTCTTTCTGTCAGAGAGGCAGCTTAGCTTCTGCCTCTCTCCCCACTTCTCCGCTTCCTCCCTTCTCTGTCTTTCTCCTCCTCCTTCTTCCCCTCTCTCTCTCTCTCTCTCTCTCTCTCTCTCTCTCTCTCTCTCTCTCTCTCTCTCTG